AAAACGGTAACAACAAAAATGCATTGTATTTTGTTGCGGGGGCCAGATATGTATTTTGCTGGGACTCTCTGGTAAAATAGAGGAAAAGAGAGAGAGAGAGAGAGAGAGAGAGAAAACGCGCGCCAGGGCCAAAACGACATCACAATTTGTATTCATACAGCCTGCGCTAGTCATGTTGAACACATGAGTTCCGTTTTGCCTTCCGTATATTCGTCGGATTCCGCTCTTCTGCTTGTCATCTGCCGATTCAGTGAGCTTCGTGTTCTCTGTGTGTGTTTGTGTTTTTATTCGTTTTTCATTTTCCCCATGTCGTGTTCAGGGTGTATTCCTTTCATTCTTTCGCTTGCTTTTGATTTTGTCCGCGTATGATACTTGGAATGTGCTCCCGAAAAAATACCAAACATTTCATAAGTAGAGCGATGCAAAGTTTTTTATTTCACGTTTTTTGCTCCCTCTTTTGCTCTCTCCACCGTTCGCTCCTTCACTGCTGCTCGTTGCAATGTTACAATTCAACTGTTGAAAATGTTCATCCTTAATTTGAATCTCAGCGGAAGTGGTGCAATACAACGCATGATATCCAAGCCGCAAGGAATCATATTCTTAGCGCAAATCATATGTATGGGAAAATTTAAATAACCGAAAACTTTTGCATCGGATTTTATTCGGCGAATCCGTTTCATGTCAAATTACAAATAATTCTTTCTGATTCTTGTTCTAGTTCATGTTCATACTCATGTTGCGACACTGCCATAGCCTGTGTGCATTACGCTTTGAGAGTTTTTCGACCGTTTTCTCTTTCGTCTATTTCTGTTGTTGTTGTTGTTTTTCCCCCTTTGTACATTTAATTCGTATCCATGCAGTACATTCACAATGATGTCTCGGCAAAATTAAATAACCAATAACTCAGTTTAAATTGTAACCATCATAATTTCATTCGAAATGTACAATTCATACAACTCAATGATTTTCATTCGTTCTTACAAAACAAACATGTAATGGTCTTTCCATCTCTGTGTGTGCCTCTGTCATGCTTCATTTCCTCTTTTGAGCTTAGTATTTGACGAGCACAGTCGTGATAAATGTTTCATCTTGTGTTCTGTATCGAATGCAAATGCTTAAATACACTGCTTTCATCATCATCATCATCATCATATGGCAATCACAGTCTGTATGAATTCCCATTTAAATGAATAGTTTGTGTTTGGATTTCTCAACGGATGTCAGAGCTTATTTAAATTGAATTTACCTCAAGACCATTGAGTGTATCACAAAATGATATACGTTCGATATAAATTTGTGTTGATTAATCAAAGGCAATGTCCATCGTGCCAATATACACACAAAATCAAAAACACAAACCACACTTTTTCAACGGAAGCTTTTGCATTGACATTTTCCATGACTCTACAGCTTCTTTTTTTTCTCATCATATTCACGTCAACAAAATGAACACAGGACCACAAAATGCACGTTTCAAGGCACTTTTTTCCTCTCATTCGCTCCCCCTCTCTCCCTGTTTAGTTTACTGACAAGAAACCCAACAATAACAAAAAACGACGAGCGAAGAACGAAAAAACTTTAAACATTCTTCACCTAATTGCTCTGTTTTATTTCATCGCAATCATTTCTCATTATAATGATCTTTTAGTTCATCTATTCGGTGTTTATTGTGCGCTTTCCGCTTTTTTCCTCCGTGTTCCCGGTTTCACCAAGGTGGATTATGCATTCATAAAACGACCGCTTGAAATATGTTTCCTATGCTACTTTTGTCCCTTTTTTTTCAAACCCAAGCAAGCTCGATCTTTAAAAATGAATAAAATGCTGATTTTTCTTCCACCGACCAAGATAAACTGAAATTAATCATACATCTGGCACACGCTTGTTGCGCTTCGACTTTCAATTCATACCGTGTAGACCGCCACCGTGGATTCGTACAAGAAATTGAAAACATTTCTCTTCGGTTATTGTGATATGGAGAAATATAAATTGAAGACACTCAATCTTGATAGCCGATAACAATTTGTATAACTGTCGATCTTCGCCACACAATTTTTCCCATTCAAATTGGATTTTGTATTGGTTTGAGTTTGCGTTTGAATGTATATGTGTGGGCGATTTTCCCAAGGCGCTTTCTACAAGTATTTCGCGATTATTGTTACCATTAAAATGGTAACCATATTGTAGGTTTTTTCGATGGCTGTTTGCAGCTAACCTGAAGCTGTCAATAAGCTTCAATACTTGGTGTTCAACAATAGACGTTTCTGTCAAAAAGTTTTACCATGCCGCAGTTTTTTTTCTCGCATTTTTTTCCTGATATGTCCTTCGTGCGCTTGCTTCTTCTACGGCCCAGTCTTCTCCTCCTTCTCCTTTTTCTTCTTCTTTTTTGTCGTTTGTATATGTAAATATATTTTCTCTAATCTTCTTTGGCCACGAATGCTAACGGCCAGATCCGTCAATTTACTGGACATTTAATCGTGTTGAACATGCTGTCGGATAGAATGGGACCCATGAAAATTAAATGACAATGTGGTAACGATCGAATCGAGTCTCATGACGAAAATGAATGCGCGTGATGAGTTGACGAGACTTCCATTCGAAATGCGAACAAATAAGCAACGGGAATGAAAATGAACGACTCTCTCTCGCTCCCCTCTTTTCTGCTTATCTGCGCGGATTTTATTCGACGATTGTTTATCCATGAATGATGATTTCAGGCCAACACCAACTGTATGCAATGTGAATGATTGAGAGGATTTATTGAGGAAATTCGATGGAAAAAAATCATAACGAAAAAGAAGAATAATAACGCAGAAACTTGAAAGCCGCTGTGTATCTTGATCGATTAGTTTATTAAAGACGCATTGCATTTGTTTGCGCTTTTCCATTATTCGACACCATTATTGCATACAATCTGTTTACATTATTTCGATTTTTTTCTCTCTCGTTTTTTCCCAATACAAAAACTGTACACAGGGAGAGATAAAGAGATGGATAGATAAAATAGACGAGAGACAGAATCGAATCTGTCCGTGATTATTTGATTCGCTTCATTTGCAAGATATTAAAAGCATATTCGCACTATTTTCCGTGTGTCAGTGCCACGCTTACGTTTCGCCTTTTTTTTATTTCATGCTTATCTAGATCTACCTTCTTTTTTTTCTTCTTCTCGAAAACACTTCGAAATCGTTTGACTTTATTTGGATTCATCACTCGCTTAATATTTATTTCGAATCAAAATCATCATAAATGCAAAAAGATTTACATGAAGAAAAAAAACGCTCGCACACTCACCCTCCCAAAGATACTTCTATTCATAATGCTTCGTAAGCATGACATGAAACATTGATGTACACCGTGTTTTTTTGCTCTTTGAATCGAATGAAAAAAACACAATTTTTTCTCTTCACGAAGAAATTGAATGAATCGTTAGCCAACAGCAGATAGCGAATTGTGTCTATAAACATACAGAATTCGCGTAAATTCTGGATTTTCGTTGAAAAAAAGAAACATCAATAAATTTTTCAACTCACGCCTGACACAACAGCTCCAAATGAGCCACACGGCTAAGTACTCAATTTTGTTCGCATGTATAACATTATAAAGTCATGGATACGGAATCACATTTTACGGCAAAAATGTCTATTTATGTCCACGAACAGTCGGTAACTTCTGGTATGATAGAAAGAAAAAGATGTGAACATAAAAAAGGCAATAAAAATCAATACTGATTTATATTGCTTTAGCCAACGTGCGCAGAAAAAAATGAATCTTTTATGGCATTTGTTGTTCGTTAGTTGAAACTTGGAAAAATTGCACCTTTGACGGAATTTGTCAGGAAAAATGTCCCTCAAATATTGAAATATTTCCCAAATTCTCTATCGATGTTTCACGAAAAGTTGATTACTGCAACTTTATGGCATTTTTCCAATCAAAATCTCCATACTTTCTGATGTTACTTAAATATGTCTTCATTTGCAAAAAAAACCTACTGCTACTACATCCATTTTCAGTAAGCAACAACAAAATCAAACGCTGTTCTATTGCACTGGTCTCGGATATTTGTGTCCACAACATGCTATGCTTTGCTTGGAAATAGTGGCGAACGCTTGCACATTGTTAGCACACCCTTGTGAGACATTTCTCCAGTCAATGACAGATAGCTGAGTTTCTATGCTCAGCATATATCCTCAGCTATCTGTCATTGACTGCATTTCTCAAAAAGTTACTTACGTTAAGACAAAATATCCGAGAGTATTTCATTATTAAATGGTCTTTTATGGAGTAGAAAAAAAGCATAATAGAATGTTAACAGAATACAATTTGACACGATGATTAAAATAAGAGTTGCTTATTTTTATTTTTTATTTCTGTTTCTTCTGGTTGTGTCTGTTCAACACACACATATTGTCAACAGTGGCTTAAGAAGCGAATTAAAAAAATGAAAATGGGATTATATGATGATAGAAATTAGTTAGTTTATTGCAAGAATGAACATTGTGCGGTTGTCACTGCAGAGATTTTCAGCAAGAAATTCTTAAAATATCTCATTCTGGTGTCGTTCGTCCGCTCGCTCGCTCACTTCACAACATTTTGAATGCAATGATAAAATACAGCGCTAGCGCACTTGTCACTGTGCCAAACACATGTGAAATCAATAATAAAATAAGCCCATATAATACATTAAAGCGAATTCCATGTCATGTGAGCTTATGGAAAGCAATGGTTTGCCTATGTACAGTGTACACTCACTCGACACCTCTTCCTCGCGCTCTCTCACTCATAAATATCATTGTCGTCATTACTACAGACCAACAGAATTTTTCAATTAACTATTACTATTATATTTTGTATAAATGCAATGCGACAATCATCAGCGCGGCACAGTATTTTCCATAATGTTGAATTTAATTAATTTATTGGAGCGAGTTATTAAAATATACGTATATAGCCAAATGATTATAATATATCCTTTCATCTCGTTTGGGTTGGGCATCGTTTAGGTTTGATTGTGGATCAGGAACGGGGAAAGTGCGATCAGATACGGAGGTGATGCTGAATCAATGGAACACATTGACGGTGTATCGCTATCGATGGGATGCCTGGATTCAATTGAACAATGGACAACGTGTACAAGGACGTTCGAAGGTAAATTTAATTGAAAATACCATATCATATTCGGACGAGCATTATTATTAACTTGACAGATAGACAAACCAAATTTGAACCTTGAACAGATTCATATGCGCGCACACATGCACATGCACATGCACACACACAGAGAGAGAGTGTAATTAATGTAAAGTGCATGGTAGTTTCAAATGAAATTCAACTAATTGCTTTGAAAGTAGCAGGTAAAACATTGCAGCGCCCCCATTCATTAAATAAACGAAAATTCTTCACGTAAATGACTGCGATATCTTGAGTGATATCGCATTCAGTATGTAGCTCAAAGCCAAGAATGAAAAACCGAATGAAATCACGCAATTAAATAAAATTGTTATTAATTTGGAGAGAAAAAGTTTTTCGTGAAGATAGTTTTTCCGTATTCCCCATTGCAAACTCGCACACTTCTCGTCTTCCTCTCTCATTCGCAGAGATAAGAGTGGAAAATATGAAGAATTTGCCTTGAGTTGTTGTGTTTTTTCTCCCTTCCTCTCTCTCTGCCCTTCTCTGGCCGTCTCCATTTTCCGCAGCGAACTTTATGTTTTGAACAGAACAAGATTTATCTGCTTGTATATGACTTTGGTGAATCAAATTTGTGGCATTGTGAGAATATGCGTCCTTTTCCAATAAATTTCAACGAAAATTATATGAATGCGCGCCAACAGATGAGATATCAGGCCATGTGAAAATCTGTGCGAAGAGAAACAATGAAGTTTGGATTTAAATGAAAATAAGATTTTCGGTTTTTCAATTGTGTGCTTCCGCATAGTTGCTTCACATAACATGTGCAAAATAATTTCTGTGATGAGCACACATTTCAGAGCCCATCACACACACACACGCGCACACATTCCATTTTTGCATATTTTCTGCAGCGGGCATTCATTAGACTCGACATTCTATAATGATATGTGCAACGTGTATTGTTATATGTACAGAAGAAGAATTTTCCTAATTATGCCATGTATAAAATGCACCCGCCCTCCTCCTGCCAACAACCACCACCACCAGCACTGATGCTGCTGCAAAATGCTTGTATGTGTTCATGTGGTGATGTTGATCAAAGAATTGTCGTTGTATGTTTTTCGATTGAAGTTTGCTGCTCCTGTTAACAGCAGCGCGAATACACGCGGAAGCAAATTAACAGCATGCACCATAAAAAGTCAAAAGAAGCAGAAAAACAAACAATAATATGCACAAATCGTAGCCCATTTGTGTGAGTATGTACTGAATGTTGTGTCAGTGATGTTGGCTTTCGCCATTGGTAGCATTAAACACGAGCGCGCGCGTTAGCGCGAACAAACCAACCAACGAGCAAAACTTATAATCATGCCATTATGAATGTAATCCAATACACTTTTATCATGTCACTCAACGAAAATTAAATGAGTTTTTGTTCGGAATGAATGAACACTTCTAATGGTGTGTCATATACGCACAAGGCATTGCGATTGGAGCGCGCGCGATTGGGATTGGGTTTGAAGAAGGAGCGCACAATTTTGTTCACTCGTTGTTCGATGGGACGATACCGTGAATAGTTGGTTTTGCCTAGCATCGTCACCCGTCATAGCTGGTCTTTTTACTCAGTTTTTCTCTACATTGAAACAGTGTTGCACAATTTGTACGGTGCTAAAGATATCTGAATTTGATTACGGTTAGCTAAAATTTCCTCTGACACAGATATTCATAAAGTTTTTTTTTCCCCAATGTTCACGTTCTCGGCTGGATGATGTGGTTTGATGCTTTTTGTGACAACAATTTTGTGACTCATCGACCAACTTTTTTTATGAGCACACGTGTAATTCTCATCTTGTCGATGTTTAGCCGTGCCTCTGTTTCTTTCGCTCTTTCTCTCGCACGGATGTTGCGCGTTGTTGTCGCCATCGCGCATCGCAAATAAATTTTCTAATGAGATTGAGCCCGATTCTTTCTAATGGATCGACGAATGATGACGGTTACACAATTAAATACGAATTAAATGGCTCAAAAACGATGTTGTGACCCTCGAACGATTTTCTATTTTTAATTCAGAACCAAAAGAAAATGTTTACAACACTTTCTCTAAAATCCCCTTCAAAATGGATAACCAAATACTCGGCTACAGACGACGAGACATTGATACACACACATACACCAACACCGTCGACAAAGAATCACAATGCAATGAATTGTTTCAATCCAATCCGGTTGTTCTTTTTCGCTTTTGTTGCGACAAACGCCAGTCAAAGTTGTATCTTGTTTCAAAATTTAACTTTCAAATTAAGGAAAAAGAAACACTGGGTCGTCGTAACACTAACTAAATACTTGCAGCGACCGCAAAAAAGCAAACACAAACACATACATATATACACAAGAATCAACAAACACACATACTTTGCGCACGTAGACAATAAGTTTGAGTACGTTTTTTTTTTGCTTTCTTTCGCTTGTCGTCAAACAATGAGTGAATGTTTCGCATTTTTAATGTATTCCAACCCCATAATTTATTAGTATATTTTCATTGAGCCAAAATGCGACACAAATTTCGAACTGTGTGCGATTTTGCAGTCAAAGTAGAAAAATGAGCGTCGCGGGAATAGAATGTGAACGTTGCAAGTAAAAACACATACGATGACGCAGGAAACGAAACAAAATGAAGAAAAAAAAGTACAGTTCATAACGAATGGCAATATTCAAAATGTAAACCCCATTCAGCGCAAAATCCAAGCAAGAACAACAACAACAACTACACTGGGGAGGCAAAGCGCACCATTTGAAGCCATCTCAAAACGAGATTCAACCAAGAATTTCAATTAATGATGAAAGAGGATTGATCATTGTTAACATCGTGAAAATTAATTAAAATCGAGAATTTTCGAAAATGAAATAGAATGACACTTGACGCTGCACGTGACAGTATTCACTGCGATTGATCTTCAATAGAAACAAATGGAGTGTATGTGTGTTGGTACTTTCTTTTTAATTTTTTCATTTGCCAAATTAATTGACAATCGAATTCAAGCACGAAAAATTCAACGTGGTTCAGTCGGCTGCCAGATTATAATCAAGGTTCGGTACTTTTCCGCGAAAAATTAACCCGACTCCCCGATCAAATTGTGTCATTTGCCACAAAAAAAAAACAACCATCGCAACAAGCAGCATTATGAGACTTTGATGATTTCAATGAAAAAAAAAAAATGAAAAAACGAAATTCATTCAGGCAAAAATTAAAATGCGGCAAATTCAAGCGACCAAAAAAATGGATGAAAATCATGGACGCTTGAGATCGCTACAAAGACAGCGAATTTATACAAATATCCTATTTAATTTGAGGACATTTCAATTATGTTTGGCTGCAAAACAAGATTTACGGAATTTGCTAGCATTAATGTATGCATTCATATGTTATCGCGATGGTATTCCCGTCGGAATCATTATATTCCGGCAATCTCGTTCAAATCTCTCTCTTTCGCACGCTCATTTGCTCGCTCTCTTTAGTTTCGACCCCGTTACGTCAATACACAGTAATTCAGTGCACGCGAATATCGTGTTGTGTGCATTCAATTCTGACTAGCAACGGTTATGAATTTAGCTGCATGTTTTGGTTGCTTTGTTTCCCAACCATTTCGATGAGATTGTGATTGCAATTATAATTTAAGCGCCATGCACTTTATTACCATTTATTATTAGTGAATAACAAATTTTACGACGCAATACATATTTCCCAATTGTAGTACTGGGGGTAGATGGCGTGACCGCGCTGTCACACTAGATTACCATTGCATCAATTTTATTGGTCTTTGTGCATTTTGCCGGCGCTACTTGTGAAATTACAGAAAAAAACCTCGAGAAATAAATACAATTCGGAACGGCAAAATGCAAGCACATTGCACACACACACACACACACACACACACACACACACACACACAAACAGCACTGCAACGAAAGAAACGCAGCGCAGTGAAACGTTCACAGTTTATGCATTTTCACTCTCCCTCTCTCGCTTTCGTTCGAATAAATCGAATAGATTTTTTTGCTTTTTGCGCCATTCTCGTGTATTTTATTGCTGTTTCCGCATCGCTTGTACATTGTTATGTATAGTTGGACTCTCTTTCAATAATTGTCGAAATTTTCTTTCTTCTTTTTTTTCGTTTCTCTCTCTCTCTCTCTCGTTTTCATTTTCATTTTGACTCTCGAAAATTGTTCGTCCAACAATTCTCTTTGTTATTTACATTCCTCCGTTTTTCCATTTGTTTGTTTCAAATGATTTTTATGCTCGCGAATCATCCGAGCAACAATTCTGCTTACAACTTTCCACCAATTGATGAGAAAATGAGTGAATTTTCACGATATTCGGAGCTAATTTTTCGAATGGATTTTCCATGGAACCAAATCAATTTACGATCTGACATATTTCATTTAAAACCGAAAAAGTGAAAATTCATTTGTGATAGCAACATAAAGATGATTTTGGCTGCATTTTCCGCGAAGGCAACATACACACCGACGACGACATTGTTAGCCTCCGTCGTTTTCTCAAAGCTTGAAAATCTGATATTTTTCTCGTTTTATTTGGCTTGCTCTTTTTATCCTCTCTTCTCTTTTGCTGCCTGTCAATACAAAATGCTCGACTCTTTTCCCTCTCTCTGCGCTTCACTGAAGCACCAATTTCCTTCACTGCTTAAGCATAATTTGAAAGGATATAAAATGAATTGTGTAATATATGATTTTGTGCTTGCTCAATCAGTTTTGTCTGGTGCTAAATGCAAAATTCGGACGAAAGCCGAGAAATGTTCTTCAATGCAAAAGGAAAACGTTCCATTTTGCATATACATTTGTTTGGAGAAGAAAAATACCGAGTCGAGTGTTTATTATGATATTGGGTGGGTTTTTATGCTTGCTCATGCTTTATTTTGCACCCTTTCAAATGGGCCATCCCTTAATTGGTCCGATTTAAAATAGAAAGAGAGCGAATGTGGCAGATAGCCGGATTTTGGGTA